GTGGCCACAATTAAAAAATTTTTTTGACCATGTCATCAGAGGGGCTCCGTAACATGCTGACACCTTAGGAGTAAAATTAAATTAAAACTGTATTTGGGACGCTTTGTTAGAAACATTTATAAGACTGCTAGATCCTACACTTTTACTTTTGCTTTACATGCTCACTGACAAATGGATACAGACAACAGTCTTCTTGCTGAGGAGCACTGCTTGGCAAAAACCATCTTCCAAGTGTGAAAGAAAAAAGGCTTTTGCTTCAATTCAATTCAACTCTGTTCATGTATAGCAGGCATCCCCAAAGTCTGTCCTCGAGGGCCGCTGTCCTGCAGGTTTTAGAGTTTTCCATGTTCCAGCACAACTGATTTATATTGATAGTTGATTAACAGGCTTTTGCTGAACTCTAATCATCAGAATCAGCTGTGCTAAAGCAGATAAACCTCTAAAACCTGCAGGACAGCAGCCCTCGAGGATCCACCTTGGGGATGCCTGATTTATAGCATCAATTCACAACACATGTCATCTCAAGGCATTTTAAAGAGACAACTCAAACCTCCAGCAGAACCAGGCTCAGTATGAGCCTTCTGCTGAGGCCGACTGTGGTTCAAGGAGACAGAGGCAGACATATTACAGGAACATAGAATCCATTCATAAATACTTTCTATGTAATAAGAGGTAAAGGTAAACTAGATCCATAGTTGGAGTTTATTATGACTACAAGAGCCTTGGATTTGAAAAGTGTTACTTTTCCATCTTCCTGGGACAGTTAGCTGTGCTGCAGTGATAACACCAGTTTATGTAATTACAGGGACTGGACAACCAAGGTGAATCTCACACTGGAGAAATTCACCCCTGCATTTAACCCATCCCCATGGGTTAAATGCAGGGGTCATTGTGCGGCGCCTGGGGAGCAGTGTGGGATTAAGTCTCTGTGGGAGTTGAACTCTGATCCTCTGGGACCCAAGCACAACGCTCTAACCGCTAGGCCACCACTCCCATAGGAATTCTTCACTATGAGGTCACCAGTCCATCGTAGAGCAACACAGAGACATACAACCATGCACACTCACACAATACCAATTAAACTAACAGTGATTTCTTGGATTGTGGGAAGAAGCATGAGTAGCCAGAGAAAACCCAAACGCAGAAAAACTCTGGCCCAGGATTTAAACCCAGGACCTTGTTGCTGCTAGGCAACAGTGCTTCAAACGGTGTCACTGTGCAGCCATTAAAAGCAATTAATAATCCCAATGGATTTATTTTATAGAGAAATAATTTATTCTGTCTATCCTTCTGTCTATCTGTCTATCCGTCTGTCTTTTTATAGCAGACTAGTAGTAAAGGTGTAAATTCCACACCATGTTTTTTCCCATTATCATGATCAAATTTGCAGCTGGATTACATGCATATCTGCCTGTATTAGTTTGACCCATTGTTTTATTCCATTCCATGTTTTTATGACGAGACTCGTACCACCCTTGTGGTAATACCATTTTAATCAGATACAATAAAACCTCATCTCAGTAACATGTTACCAAAATTATGGGATAAAGATATTGTGCAAAAAAACAAGAAAACAATTGAAAAGCAGAACCTAAAAGCAAGTTCACTTAATAACTTAATACTTAATCTAAGCTCTTTTTGATTCAACTGCAGCAGGGTCTTCTTAAAGGTATAGTGGAGGATTTTTTTTACATTTTTGAAAAGACTCGCCCTATCCAGTTTTTAAAAAAATGCGATTAAATGCATGAGCCCCTTTCTCCTCGTGCACGCTCTGTTTAAAAGTTGCTGTTAGCATCGCTCATACAAGCTTGAATTTCCAAAAGAAGATTTGCAATTTTTCAACTGTCAGACTCACCACCGGTAAGTGAAAATTGGGACAAGCACATAGGATGGCCTTACATAAACATATCACCAGAATGATTGACAATTAGGAGGACCACTTATTTTGTTGATCCACCCAGAAAAAGAACATCCTCCACTATACCTTTAAGTCCATAACAGCCATCAGATAACTTATTTACACTCTTTAGCTAAAGCTATAGCATACACTCAGGAAGGATATAAAGGATAGAAAAGATTTCCAGATGCAATTAAATCAACAATACAATTAATCTACAATTATTATTTTGGCTTATTTGTCTTGAAAATCATCTCCTATGAGCATAAGCTGACATTTTACTTAGGATTAAAAGTATTGCATCATTGCTTTAAATTTGGTGAGGATCTGTATTGAGGCATTTATTTTGGAGGATGATAATACTAAAATAAAACAAAACAAAGACCCTCAATGATGTGATTAGAGGTTGAGGTTATTCTTTCATACAGTCTATAATAATAATAACAGTCTATAATAATAATTAAGTCATAGTTAATAAAAAAATATTTTGAACCTGCTTTCAGTATAACAACTGGGAATATATTATGGATTTAATCATTATTCATAGGTCTGTTTTTCCAACATAAACCACCTTCAGTATCTGTAACACAGGTGCATTTAGAACAACAAACAAATAAAAAATGCTGTGTTGTTTTTTTGTCACCTAAACCTATTTTTTCTGTTGTCAGCATAAGACACTGATGCAATTACTTGGGTGAAATAGTGCTGCTGGAGAAGGATGTAAATAGATTTGAAGCAGGGTGCTCACGGCTAAATGTCCTACTATACTGGATTACATTTTCAAAGGGGCATGGCGGATGGCTCATTTGATGTAAGTTACAATGAAATAGTGCAACTGTCAAAAATAAACACTTTATATAATTAAGTCAAATATAGAGATACAGGACATTTTTTAGATACACAGGTTCGGATTAAACCTTTCCTACTCAACATCTGGCATAAAGTTCCAAATAATTTTTTTAATAGACAGGAGTTTGTTTTAGACCTAATGTATTTCCAAGTGAAAAATAAAAGATTTATGTAATTTTCTTTTAATTGATTAGAGTCATCTATGGCATTAGATTAGTATTATAGCCAACTAGCCAACTTTATTCATAATGCATATATATATATATATATATATATATATATATATATATATATATATATATATATATATATATATACTGTACGAAATTACGTTTTGTATACACTCCATGCATACAAAATGACAATAAGAGTTGTCTAGTCACATACTTTCTTCCTTTGGCACCTTCTTCTTTTCCTTTGATTATTTGAGATGATGTAACGAGTAGATTTCACTACTGTAAGATCAATAAAACAATAAAAATTTTAAACAAAGTAAATTAATAACAATATAGCATAACATTTTGGAACAAGAACCACAAATCTAAGTTGCTCTTGCTCTACTGAATAAAATATAAACACTTAATGCGGTTTGGGTTATTTATTCATAAAGATAAGGCTAATCAAGCCAGTGTCTCAATGTAAACAGCTTTCTCATGAAAGGGATTAGCCTTTGCATTTGGAATATTTTGTAAGCTTATACTGCCCTCTAAAGGTCAAACTCAGAATTACGAGCTAAGGAGGATTATTTTGCACCTTTTTCTCAATGACAGACTAAATCAGGGAAGAGAGATCTGTCTGGAGCCACACAATTTAAGTCTTATATAAGCCTCCTAAGGGTTCTAAGTGTATATTAGCACCTTACCAAAATGACTAAGCAGACAATTACATAATAAACATGCATTATTATATGTTTATTTTCCCTGCAGCACATCCTGGAGAAAATGACAAACCTAATATGACTAATTTGCTGTACGATATTTGGTGCTTTAAGTTAAACAGTATTATGCTTTTCTTGCATCAATGGAAATATAGAAATACAACAAAGAAATCTGATTTTTGGTGTTATTTTGAGGATTAAAAAAAATAATAATAATGGAATGTAAATAATAGAACTCCTCTAATAGCAAACCTCCATATGGAAATAAAATGCAGTCTTCTTCAAACTACAATAATAATACAATCCTCTTTTTCCCCGTTTTTGGGAAAAAGGTATAATAAATGCTTCAGCAGCCTTTTGATAAGGTAAGTAGGATAGATAAACAAAAATAAACCAGTATAGTTTAATTACAGTGCACCCACTGGTTTGTTTACAACAGCTACCTGCCTGGCACTGTGTCAAACTGAAACGTGTCAAAGGCTATGAGGCGATTCTTTGATACAAATGTTTAATTTTATTGTTCAAATTTATTTATATATCAAGACACATCTACCTTAACAGCACATCTTTAATTTTTGTTAGCATGTTTAATATCTCCAAAGGAAATAGACTAAAAACAGAGGAAGAAATATGTACATTTGACACCACCTTCAAATGCAGGACATGCGTTCTGCTGAGATTGCAATTGATTTTGTTTTAAGACTAATGTAGGATTCTTTGGGTCCCAAGATTTTATGTAAAATTAGAAACATTAACAACACCTGGACTTCAGTGTAGGTTTTCACTTATAAACATGAATTTGGTATAATATAAAGGTTTATATAATAGTTCTACATAACGCAACGCAAAAATTCACCTAGGGACTTTTAAGTGTTTTTTTTTTTTCTTCATCCTGTACGCAGCTCTCAGGTATGTCTATAAGCTGGTCAGGCCACTTTCTCTAAATTATGGATTTGTGAAGAGCATTTTCGATCCAGCTTCAGTAGGTTAGGAACAAATCAATGGGATTTCAAGGTCACAGAAAAGATTTGTTCTGATATAACAAAAAAACCCAAACTTTAACACTTCTTCTGCCCTTAACGGAAACATTAAACCGTAAAACAGAACGAGGTATGCAGGTTTTATATTGACAAGAAGTCCCAACTGTATCTAGAATGCAAACAAATTATCTGTACAGCATATCAATTTGTAAGTCTGATTAAGTAGCACAACTTGACCATTTACTGTTTTAAAGTTTTGATAATACTAAAGAGGTGTAAAAGGCTGAAGATTTGGGGAAGTTAAACTATCTTCAAAAAGATTATGATTGGATTCTGTTATATTTAGGACCCTGCTGTGTATTTTCCGAAATAAGGAGGAATTATAGTATAATTATTACGATTTTATTTAAACATTACATCTTATGGAAAAAAAAATCAATGTAAAAAAAAAACTATTTGGTAAAGCAAAGATTGTTTTCATCATTCTACAACAGGAGTGCCTCTGCTTCTTTTAGGGCTCTCTCAAATTCAGCAGCCTCCTCAGAGAAGTTCTCCCTCTCTCGCTTGATAAGTTCACGCTCTTTCATGATCTTCTCCGTTGTTTCTTGAATTTCCTAAAAAATATGACAAAGAGTCAGACATACAAAGCAGAAAAGCTGCAACAGGACCATAAAAGTGAGAGGAAAATGACTCGCCTGTAGCTGAGTGAGCTGTTCCGATGCAACGTCCCCAAAGGCCTTAAGTTCCCTCAGGAGGTTGGTTGAAAGACTCTGAAATATGCAGTAATGCACCAAATTAGTAAGAGCATGTTTCTACTTTCCATTGTGATCAGGTTGTTGGAGTCTTGAGCTCATGTTTGTGAGTTTTTTTATAGCAACATTATCAAGTGCAAGCGGAATGCAACACATACCATAACCTCTTTTCTTTCAGTATCTTTCTGCCTTGCTGCATCTTCGACCCTTTCCCCTAAAACTAAAGGATTAAATCGGTGGTTAATGGAACAGGTAACATCACAATAAGTAAGATATGGTTTAAACAGTTAGTCCACTTTTTCACCTGGGTCTATTTTGGCAGAAACTAAGAGAGAGTGACAGTCCTGTAGGTTTTTCTGAAACTCTGCATTCTCCTTTTGAAGCTCGCCGAGTTGTAGCTCCAACTCAGCAACCCTTTGCTTTGATATAAAAATATATATATCAGACATTTATTAGAAACGAGTGAATGAATAGTTCATTTTCTTTTGACACTAGTTCTTTTACCTCCTTCTCTGACAAGTGTTTCTGCAGGTCTTCATTTGTAGCCACCAAGTTTAGATTTTGCTCCTTCAGCTCTATTTGTTGCCCGTTTCTGGTTGAAATCCTACATATGAATGGGGAAAAAAGCATCAGACACAGAACCAAAACGGGCCAGAGCCTGCAGAACCACAATGTTACATTAATATAATGTATGACTTACCCTTTGTGAGCCTTAGAAGCAACATGTTTCCTAAAAGACAACAGATTTCAATAACTCTGATGCATAAATGAAACTTAGTTTGGAAACTTGAAAATTTGGAACCTAGAGCAAAAACAATCAATCCATCCATCCATACACTCACACACATATATATATTTATTTATTTATTTTTACCTTGGAACATTTTCCTTTGAATTTCTGAGATTCATTTCTGTTTTTTGAGCAGTTTTAGCCTCTGCTGGTAAATTTAAACCTGGAAATATAGACATGAATAACAGTTTGTTAAAAAAAAAAAAAAATCTAATTTAAATTATTTACATTATCGGAATACCATTAAAAAAAGTAAATAAAAAGTTTACCTCTTGGAATTTTTGAGGACATCCCCACACAGTTCCAAAAAACAAAACCTGTATGGAGAGAGAAATTGACTATTTACTGTAGATATGGCTTAAAAAAAAACAAAAAAAAAAAACAACAAAGACAAAAAAAACTATATTTGCCATTATCCTATTTAGGACAAAAAAAACGTAATAATAATTTGAGATTTTTATTCATATTTTTAATTCTAAGTCCTTAACTTCACCTAAAGATGAGCAAATCCTATATTACTATCTGGATCTTTCCTGCTATAATATACATTTTAAAATATATTGATCGTATTAAAAAAATACAGCCTCTTTGAACCCTTAAAGTTTTTGTCCTGTTACCATGATTTGCTGCTTCTTTAGTTTCCATTTCTGACTGTATGATACTTTCAAGTTGCTTTTTGGAATGAACATACAGGTACATCCATTCACACATAATATAATTACTTGTAGAAAGGAATATATAACAAACTCTTAAATAAATACAGCATTAATGATGATAACATTAAAGCAAAAAAAGCTCCGGTATTGGAAAAGTATGCAAATGTTATGTAGCTCAAAAATTAGCACGAGATCGAGGTGACTGAGAAACTGTAGTGGAGTTTAAAAAAATAAAAATAAAAATGTCATTAACTTCAAAGCCAAACAAGAGGGATGCAGTATGGGAGCCCCTTGGATTCAAACTGCTGATAACCAATTAACCTATGCAAGCAGGTATTTTGCATTAGTTATTAAAAAAATAGCACTAGCAACTAAACATACCAGGACACCAAATATGCATCTGCACCTGAGACATCGACAGATGCAGTTTTTCCAGCAGGGAAAACAAAACTTGAAGTTAATCTCTGTTTTGTCCTCCAAACAGTCCACCATCGATGAAAGTTTTAATTTATCCACAAGCAAAATACAAAGACACTCAAAGACAGGGAAGTTCTCTTAATATCTATAGAGATGCTGCCCACTAATATAGTTAAATAGCCTGAATTTCACATTTTGACTCTCTACCTAGTAAGAATGGACGGATACAAAAATACCTTGCATATGTTAAGGCTATCCAAACAACAATATTATTGTTTATTGCAATCGTTTTTGGGACAATTTATTGTTTGGCAAACTTAATTATTGTGACATGCCTAAGTGGCGTGCATATAATTTTGTGGGCTTTGGGGATGATAATCAAGTACTTTATGGATACAGGCGTCTTACCATTTGACTCTTTCCTCACCAAATGTTATTTTATGGCTGCAACTAACAATTATTTTGCTAATTGATTATTCAGTCGATCATTTTTTAAATTAAGCGATCAATAACTGGATAGGTTCCTTAAAGAAGATATTTTCTAAATTAAACCAGATGAAACACAAACTTTTTCACTTGAAGGGGTTCTGGATAGAACCTATAGACAAATGATTAAAAAAAAAATTCTGAAATGCAAAAGGTTTATAAACATTTCTTTTATAATATTATTGATATTATTACTGCTCTAAGTGGGTTCCTCTGTCAGCTAAAGGCATGTTTGAGAGTCTCTATACTCCAGCTAACAATTATTTGATTACTAAATTAGTTGAAGATTATTTCAATAATCAATTAATCATGATTTATCGGATTAATTGTTTCAGCCCTATGCTATTTAAATGTGTTTATGATTATTTCAGTCTTGTAATCATTTTTGTTGACTTCATAATAATCGCGAGAAATATCACAATACTTTAGTCACTTTCTTAAAGCTGACAACCCAGGAGATGGATGCCATTTTTATAAGGAAAAAAGGACAAGTAAATAATAAAAAAGGTCCAATTTGTTGTGAACATTTGGAGCAGGTGGGTGGATGGACCCAACCTGATAAGGATGAAATTAAGACTACTACTATTAATGATCAACAATCAGCAGTGTAGGGTTGTCAAAAGTATCGATACGCAAAAAAGTATTGATAATAAAATGTTGTACCTGGATATGATTCATTCTCTAAAGTATCGATACAGTGATAACCCCAGTGGCACGTAAAGTCATTCATCTAGTGTGCAGAATAGAGGAAAATGCACTTTCTGAACACTGTGTGATTGAATATTTTTGTGCACTTTTCAGTTTCAGAATTTTTTGTAACAGGTGCAGCTGCTGAGAAATAATTTTGTTTTTTAACTGGTTTGGCTAGTGTCATTGGAATGTGTGCAAAGCATAGCAAAGGAAGGAAAACTTTAAATTCATTTTGTTATTTTTTTTTTATCAAGCTTGCTTAATTTTGTGCACAGCATACAACCTCAAACTATTGTTCTTATTGTTTATTGTATTTATTTGTATTTTATTTATTAATGAAATTATTTCTGTAAAAATGTTGTGGTCTTTTTTATCCTTATGGTATCGAAAATGGTATCGAGTTGATATTTTTAGTATCATGACAACCCTACAGCAGTGTTTTTAGATTATGCATGCATCGTTTTAAATAATCTATCGTTGTAAATTCGAAATATTTCTTCATATTCTGTTAAGATAGCATTCTAAATAAATTTATATATTATTATACATTTAATTTTTATTAAAACAAAAAAAGGAATTGAGTGAACAAAAGCGTGAAGAAAGACAGTGGTTCAAAAAAGATGTTATTTCATTACCATTATCTACCCTCCGACACTTCGGCTCAGACTATAAATAATTTATCATTTTCAATCTGCATATTTTTATCCGTTCACGATCAACTTTAACTCGCTTAAACCGTAAAAACTGCCAGACTTTAGTGTAACATTTGCTGTATTTATTCAACTTTCAGCGAACTTATGTTATGGAAGGTACAGCCTTACCCTACAATGTTATCAGAGCACACAAACACTTTCAATAATATACAAATGTTATAGTATAAAATGTTACCTGTAAGGAAAATCAGAGAACGAGTTTCATCAACAGTCCCGAATTTCAAAATAAGTTCCGCCCTTTTTCTTCTTCTTCTTATTTTTTATGGTGGTTGGCAAGCTTCCGCCCCATTTTAAACTCTTCCGGTCTGTTAACAGTTTCCGATGTAAACAAAACTCTCAATCTATTTTTTTTTTTTTTTTACTGTTGGTTGGTGTATGTTTGTGGATACGTTATTATTATTATTATTTTTTTTTTAGATAAACTTTGTAGGTTAAGAAACTGGATAAACGCGCCTCAGCCGTTGCGCATGCGCGAAGGCGGCTAAATTCAAAAAAAGACGTTAGCGTTCGGTCTGAGACTGGCGCAATGCCCTAAAACAAATGTCTTATAAAACTTGTTTTTGATTGCTAACGAAAAGCAACAGAGATATATCTTGTGTAGATCGAAGAAACTGGTTTAAGACACATAAGGTACGTGACTTAAAACATGTTTGATAGGGGATTTATCGATAACTTGGCTAGCAATAAGGCTAGTAACATCAAATCTGTCTCAGTATTGGTAGCAGGATGATGCTTTCTTTTATTGTACATCTGACATTGTTTTTGCGTTGTTTTATATTTAATGACCCCAGTTTGCTAAAAGGCTACTGCGATGCTTTTTGTGAATACTGATTACTTTGAAATATGAAGCTGATATTTGGTTGGTAAATAAACTGTAGTGCTTATTTGTGTTTTTTATGGAATCACTATAAATGGTGTTCAGGAACGGTGTAAATATTTTGTGTAAACGGTTTGTGTATTTTTTAAATATAGTTTTTCTTGACAAGGACCTTTGTTATACAGCAATATTTTCTTTCTTTTCTCATTGTACTTGTCAAGTGCAGAATAATACAATCTGTGACAGTTAGTATTGCACTTTTATAACTTGTCAGTCTGGATTCTTTAAGTGATGTGAAATCCAGTAATTTAGAAAGTGGAGAAACTGCTGCTGTCTTCCATATTATGCTTTTTATGAATAAAATAAATGAATGTCTAGTTCTCCAGGTTGACAGACATATACTGCTGTAACACACTGGGGATGCCCTAGAAATTGGATTATCAGTCCACTAACATTTGGAGGATTCTGGAAATCCTCCAGATGTTATGATCTATGATCTGATTATGGTTCACTGTTTTCTTACAGGTGAAGATGGAACCTTTGGATCCAGGAAGGAATGTGTGAGTAAAATATGTGATAGGGATGATTGGTAAATGGTATGGGATTCACCTTCAAATTGGTGGGGAAAGCGTTAAGATATTTTATATTTTGTATTAATTGACCAGTAAAGCTATAATATAGTGTTTTTAAACCAGTAGAATAATGTCATTTTGTGTATTAGCTGATTAAGATAACTTTGAGATGCGGCTTGTAGTATTTATGGGCAATGGACACATCGGTATAACAGAGGAAGGAAAGGGTTTATTGAAACTATGATCTTGTACCTGGAGTCCAATAGGAGAAAGAATAAAGGTAATGCATTCTTTTGTATTAGTTCAACTTTAGCGTCATCTGGGGAGATAATGCTCTGTTAAACTCCTTGCTGTAAGTAAGATCTATTATTGCAACAAGGCAGTTGTCAGTCGTTTCGCTTTTTATAAAGGTGAAAATTAGAAGCTTTACAGCGAAGCATTAATCAAAAGGATTTAAAATTAGATAATTTTTTATCTGTTACTATAGGGTTTCAATTGAAAAAATGTTGCCATGATGTAACTGCAGATTGTTTTCCATATGTTGTATTTACTGTATGCAGCAATTGAAAGATAGCCCTGCATTGAAGTGCATGTTGCTCTACATCATACTGTACTGTTCCAGTGAGCAAGTGCAGGGAAAAATTACGAAAAATGTTTTTTTTTTTACCATCATTTTGACTACCTTTGCTGCATTAATGAATATTTACCCAAGTAATAAAAAAATGGGCCTAATTATTGTTTGTATTTTGTGGTACAGTGGAGGCAGCGGATCCTCCAGGCGACGCATTTCTTCTGTAAGTGTTTAAAATGGTTAACAGAAAGTATGCATATTTCTTGGATCATAGTTTTTAATATGTGAAAGTTTAAAGCATCTTATCAACAACATAGAAATGGATTATGATTGTGTATTTGTATTTTCTTTCTCATGTATCTGTCTACCTTACATTACTCAATCTGTCCATCTATTAATCCAGTAACTTTTTCGCCACATCAACCATTTCACCTTTTATTAATCATGAATCCATTCTTCCCTGTTTTATCATTCTTATTTTAATCTTCCATGTCAAACTCTCCTCCAATTACGATGTGAACATTTTTTAGAACAGAACATCAATTACTTACATTAAAAATTTCAGATTTTAAAAGCACCACGGAAATCATCAGTGTTCCAGGACTTGGAGCAACAGGAAAATAAGGTAAATGGACTGACCAGCAAATGTTTCATCTGCATTTTTTTTCTTTTTTTTTTCAAAGCGGTAAAATAATTATAAAAATGTTCATAGTAGAGTTTTGATTTATTTAATTACTTAATATTAAGGCGTTGCTCTTTTTTTTTTTTTCTCTCTCCCCATTAAGGTGGAAAGCGCAAAACCGGTGGAAAAGAGGATTTCAAGAAGAGTCAGTTTTGCTCCAGCTGATGATGTTCTTTTGTTTTCTGAGTGAGTCTAAACTCCCACTTTATTTTATGTAGAATTCATAATTCTTACCTTATATGCTCTTTTAATTAATTAATTAACTTTTTTAATAGAGATGCCAAGAATGTTTCGAAAGCGGACTCCCCTCTACTATTGGGAGCAGGTATGTAGTACCGTATACATTATTAGATTTTTTTCATTTTAACAATGCTAAGAATATTTTCTATATTATTTTACAGCCACTACAAAAACACATGACAGGTAAGTGGTTCAGTTTCATGAAGTTCAGTTTATTTACTACCATTCTGTGTAAGCTTCACCATTAGTTTTGTTGTCTTTATTAAGGGCTCAGGTGATGGCAGCTAAAGAAATAAGCCCACAGATAATAGGTAGGAAGATTGCTATATTTGTTTTTTTCTCAGTTTTTTTTTTTTTCTCACTAATTCCACTCTCTGATTATAGGTATAGAAAGCCTGCTGAATGCTCCACTACATGCTTCCCAGCAAAGATTAATGGTAGGTGTAGAGTTTGAATGCTGCTTATTTTGCCACTTTAGTAGTTGGTATATCTTTGAACCTGTTTTAGAAAGCTTTAAGAACATTCCAAAAAATTAATAATCTAAAGGTTTTTCTGTAATCCATTCTCAATTCACTATAAGAAAATAGGACCCCAATAAAAGTCATTAAATGGTAACTTCTAACAGCTATAGTTTCAGTTAGATTAAGGGTTTTATTTTCTTATTTGTTTTAAAGAGTTTACTAGTCTAAACATGAGTTGATACAGTTATCTGCCTGATTTGACTTTTTTCTTTAATCACCACTTTTCTTAAAGACACTCAAGTATCTGACAAAATAGATGAATATAATGATGAATTTTCTGGAAACAAGATCTATGAAGTCTATGAATATGAAATAAACAAGGGTTTGGTACGGTGGAATCCGCTTATAAAGATCACATTGGTCCAGAGCCAATTTGATCACTAAGCAGTTGATTACTATATCCAAATTTACCGTTATCTCACTTATTTTTTATGCAGAATATAATTTAAATGCCATTTGTGTGGTTTTTTTCAATGAGAAAGATGAAATGAAACGGATAGCTTCCGCATTTACTGAATTTTATTACAGTACCATGCAAGTTTAATTACAGTATACTGCGCTGTGCTCAGACATAACTCTAGTAGTTCTGCCGGTGCATTTTTTTTTAGCAAGTCTGAAGTTTGAAACAAATAGTTTCATAGAACAACAATGTAGAAGATAACTGCATAGGCTACAGAAAATTAAAGGTAGCCACATCTGTTTTGTGTTGCGGATCTGCTGCTCCGCCTTAAGAAATCACTTAACATATTTATTCATGGTTCCCTGGATCAGAGTGTTGTCCAACACCAA